AAAAAAAAAAAAAAAAGAAGGAAAGACCATTTGGCTTTAGGATTGAAACACAGCCCTAAGTCATTCTGAGATGTGTGTGTGTGTGTGTCAGAATCTCACCCTGTCGCCTAGGCTGGAGTGTGATGGCATGCTCATAGCAACTGCAGCCTCTACCTGCTGGGCTCGGGCAATCCTTCTGCCTCAGCCTTCCAAGTAGCCATTATGCCTGGCTAATTTTTTTGATTTATTGTAGAGATGAGGTCTTGCCAGGTTGCCCAGGTTGATTTTGAACCCCTGGGCTCAGGCAATCCTCTCACCTCTACCTCCCAAAGTACTGGGATTACAGGCGTGAGCTACCATGTCCAGCTGGTTTTGTTTCTGATCACTTCCATTCTGTGGAAAACAATACTTCAGTGACATTTCAGTTAATCTATAAGAACTTACGAATGCCCACCATAAAACCTATGCTGTTTTAAATGCTAGGGAAGCTACAAAGATTCATCCTGCCTTCTAGGAGACTACAGTTTAGAGAGAACAGTATTTGAATCATAGACAAGATACTAGAGGGACAGAGTTACATTTTATAATCTCATAAAGGATCCAAGTTGTTTTTCCTAGAGAAAAGGAAAATGATACTTACGAGGTACACAGGAGCCAAATTTATCAGGGAATTCAGATATTAAGTCATCATTGATCCGATCCTTCATAGGGCCCAGGATAATCACTGGTCGGGTATAGTTTACTGCAGAGAGGGAAAGGATGATGTAGAGTAAGAGAAAGACTGCAAAACTGTCCTGCAAAGTTGATTCTTAAGGTGAAACTGCCAAGCAGTAAGAACTGCTAAGAGTGTTACTTGATTGGATAAGTTACCCATGAAGCATTGCATAGGGAAATTGATATTTAACACTCAGGAGGTTGGCTGTGTCTACTTTCTGGAATTTATTATCAGGGAAAAGCAACTGCAGTGTCTGTCAAGGAAAAGAACCATTTGGAGGAGTTTTGCTTACTCTCTGGTTATGCCTACACAATGTCAAAACAACTGAATTTAGTCAAATGAGTGGGAGAAAAAAGAATCCAAACCAGATGTTTGGCCATTGTTTAAACATGACTTTAAAAAGTAATTGTTAGTAGTAATAGCATCCTATATTTTTATCATTTCTTTTCCTCAGTTCAAAATACTCTAGACTCTGCTGCAGTTTCCCCAGTTCTTTGTATCTGGGACTAGAAGGAACCCTAAAATTCATCTAGTACAACCCCCATCTGTTGCTTGCATTTTCTCTGCAATATCCTTGTCAATAGCAATTAGCTTCTTTATAACTGCCTCCAGGAAAAATCAGCAGTCCACAGATGGCGTATATCTTAGACAGATCTGTAAGAAAGTCCTTCTCAATACTGACATGACATCAACCTCCCAGGAGATTGTGTCCATCAGTCTGTAGCCAGGGCTTTTTATGTGATTTGGTTATGCTCCTTCCACTGAAGACCACTCATCTATAGGATTTCTCCATTCTCTCAGGAGCTGCTACTGCCTGTGCTCAGCAGAAAAATTGTTTGGTGATAGGAGCAGAGAGAAAGAAAAAGAGAGAGAGAGAGAGAGAGAGAGAGAGAGAGAGAGAGAGAGAGAGAGAGAGAGAGAGAGAGAGAGAGATGGTATGTAAGGTCTGGGGACAGTTGAATATTAAGCTGAGTTTATTTTCCTTGGTTCTTCACCCTTTCCCTCCTTCAATAATATCATCTGTTATGTCCTGGAAATCAGGAATGAGAGATGCTTGGGAACTTACTTTCCTGCCTTGTGACAGGCTCATAAGAAAGAATGAAGTCTTCTTGTCCTCCTGAGAAGAGAAGAAAGGAAAATTACAGTGAACTAACAGCCAGCCGTATACTACAGTCACAAGCCCTGCTCTGAAACACAGGAAGCAGACACCATTCAGGGTTAATTTTGCTTGCTCTCTTTCCTTGAACCACTCAAAAATCCCTTCATTCTCATAAAACTCTTTAGCACTACTTTAATATCAGGTTTTCACATAGTCATATCTCTAAGTAATAACTTGCCGCTAGCTATCTGCAGCAGGTAATGACCGTGAGACTGCTTTTTGTCTGACATTGAGAAATGGAGCATCATGGCCTCTATGCTGAGCAATACTACTTAAAAGGAAGCCATTTAGTTCAAGGAATGGGTCCATTCAGTAGTTTGCTGCTACATCATTAGAATTTCTGTACCTTTTATTTCATCTTCTATTTATTTTCCCAAGAAGCACATTGTTCAAAGTAAGTGTCTGCTTGTTTCATTTATCATATAAAAACTCCATCAGGACACTGAGGATTTTACTACAATATTAATTCATCAGGATAATACTGTGGGTCAATTAAAGAACATCAAAAATTGAGGAGTGACCTACATGATTGGTTATAATTGCTGCTAAGCCATGCCTTGAAACTTCAGAAAAAGAACTAAGGAAGGCAAAGTAGTAAAATGTCAACTCCTCCAATGTCATCTGCTACAAGTCATCTGATTCAGGGTAGACCTCAAGTCAACAAATAGCCATGGAAAGTAAATTGTGTTTTGGCAATTATTTTTCTCAATCATCTATTTTATCCAGTTGATAAATTAATTGGTCATAGGATTAGCTCAATTCAGCTGCAAACCCAGAAGGGTCTGCTCTTATATTTGCATAAGGCCTATTCCCAACTAACCTTTGGTAAGGAAGTAGGCCAGAGCTGTTGAAAAGGACTTCTTGTCTGCTAAAAGAGATAGCAGAGGAGGAGTAAAATGTGAGGTAGCTTTTCCTGAAATCAAAGGGCAATTCACCTCATTGCTATATATCTTCACCTCTGAAGCACACTCAGTTTGTCAATACCAGACTCTTTCAATAGACACAGCACCAGGAATAGATGAGTTAATGTTATAAAAGTTGTTACTATAATAGAATATTTTGATAATGACATGATTCTGGGAAGTTAAGCAATATGTAGGTAAAGTTGTGAAGTATGTATGGTCTTCCCTAGATACTGGGTAGCTGGGGTGGTGGTGTGGGTGTTTTACTCTATCAAATGTGAGAAATAGCCCTGAGCTTAGGTCATATCTCACCTTAGTCTTAAGAAGGCTTGCCCTCAGAATGGCACTACCATGCCAAGCTATTCCCTAAAAGCACAAAGAATGGACGTTGATGTTCCTCCTGAGCGGCATCTACCCAGGGTTGCCCCAGAAGTGTTCAGGGAACTTTCTCACATCTGGGCAGGGATTTGTTGTATGAGGATTCAGTTTCATAATTTTTTGTATTCAGGATAATGTAATTCAGGAAAGAATGATTCCTTCTGAATGAACTAAACTACTGAAATTTATAGAGTCTAGCTCCCCCTTCCCCCTGCCCCCAAATGAAGGTGATTAATGGCTAAGTTCCAGTTACCTAAAACTTGAGCTATGTAGAGGCCATAGACATTCAGAGTAGTGTAAAAATTATTGGGGAAAAAGTATAGTTTTAGGGATATTTTCATGGTAGACTAACATTGCAATATTTGACTGTAGCTTTACAGGGAAATCTTCATGACATGATTAATGTATGAGGGAAGAATCCTGACCATGGGATAACAAAAGTTTTAAATTTCAGGTGATACTCGCGCCTCCTCATTAGTCTGGAAGCTTCATAAAGGCAAGGGCTGAGTTTCATTCACTATGTACCCAGTACCCAGTCAAGTGCTTAACATTAAAAAAAAAAGTCAGGAAAATGTCAAGGAATTTGCATTCTGACTTCAGTTGTGGGAAACAGAATAAGCAATGAGACCAAAGGTAGATTCTACTTTATGTTTTTGTCAGTGAGGTCATTTCACTTTGGAAAGTGTGATTTTTCTTTAATTAAATATAACACATTATGTTTCTATTGGGATTTCTTTTCAGTGGCCTTGCAAATCATTCCAATGGAACATTCTAAAAGCAAACCTTAGATAAGCTATTTGACATCAGTATGTATGATTTGTGATTCATAAACCTAGGGCAAAGCAAAGCTTTGATTAATTCTGTTCAAAAGTTCTATAGCTCTGTCATTGCATCTCTTTTTGGTTTGTTTCCCTCACTATGAAAGGGGCTGGTGCTGGTTCAGAGCAGTAGTACTGACAGACAGCAATGGCAGCATTCCTATGTCAGGTCATTCCAATTCTCAAGGTACTGTATGATACCCAGGAAGACTGTGGGGAAGCTGTGGGTGTGGGCATTACATAAGTGCTGTGAATTCAGCACCTTAAGCCAACTTTTACTTTCATGTTCAAGAATGAGAAAGCCCTACGGGTAATGGGAAGGAGACAAAGAAAAAAGTCACAGCAATGAAGGAAAGAAAATTCAAGTCTCTATGGCACTTTGCAAGTCTTGAGGGGCTTTCATATCCACTGGCTCTTATTTTTCAAGACGTTACTTGAAGAAGGTATTCTGATGATCCATCCACTTTACAGATGAAGATACTGAGGCTCAGAAGTGTTAATGAGGCCTGTTTCCTCAGCTAGTAAATAGTGGAGTCAAGATTTAATACTATGCCTTTAAAAAAGAAAAAAACTCTTGTAGAGAATGGTGTACTCAAAAAGACAAGAGTACAGTTTTCTGTGGGGTTGGAGAATAGAGGTAAAACTTACACATGAACAAAGGATGGAGGGCAGACAGGAGCTGAAACCAGGTTGGGGTCACTGAGAGGCCGTCAGGTGCTCCATCTCTAAACACTATCTTTGTTTTAATATTGCTGTGCCATCTCCATAAAATAGTCATCCTTAGGAGTTTTTCTATTTTTTGCTCAGGAGGGGTTGGGACTTAGAAATAACAGCTGACAAAAGGTACAAACTATTTCTTGGTCTCGTTTTGGCAGCTGCATGGCTGAAAGTGGGAGAGCAGCATGGAACTGTGTGTGGACGCCTGCAGCTGTCAGAAACTTGGCAGAGGATTTTGTCACAGTCTCCATAAAACACTTTGTATTTAAACTGGAAGTAAGGCACAATGAGAGACCCTAATATGCCTTCATGCTAGAGAAAAGCAAGTTGCTGTTCTTTAGGAATTCTTGAAAACTAGAAAAGAGAGAGGAGAGAAGTGAAGGTCAGTGGCAGTACATATAATGTTCTAAATTTAGTTTGTACTGCCTGCATATGAGATTATTAAGAACAAGTTAGGTTCTTAGAGCCAAATAATGTTAGTGCTAAGGAAGGTTTGGAATTCATGTGCTTAATAGGTGACAAGTACATATGTAGCACATGCTGTTCCTCCCCCATATAGTGACCTTGACAGGCCTTACAAACTGATTATTGCCAGCATTACTGCTGAGGCTCTTTGTGACCTCAGAATCCTTTTCATTACAACTCTTCAGGCAGCTATTACCAATTGGTCAGAGTTGAAATCGTCATTTACATCTATTTGCCATCTCTGTTCTAATCCAAGCTATTCGTTTCACATAGGAGGGAACTGAGGTTCAAAGACTGAGTAATTTCAAGGTCACGTAGTGAATTAGTGGCTCAGTGCCTCCACAGGATGTTTGGAAGACTATTCTAATTAATATACATACAGCCTTTAAAATCAGGCTTGGTACACGGTTAATGCTATATAAATGTTGCTGTTTGTATTAATTTGATAAGGAGATGGAATGACTGAAATGTACTAGATAAAGTATTTAGGAGGCTTGGATTGCAAACCATAGGGAAAGGCAAAAAAACGTATGGGATTCTGAATGTGAAGGTCTTGGTTGCACTTAGCAGTGCTACCACCTAAGAATAAGGCAGATAGCCTCTCGAAACTTCAACTTCCTCATATAGAAAGGGGGCTATTAATGTAAAATATAGTCAATAGTTTTGTTGCAGAAATCAAATGAGATAATAGATATAATGAAAAACTGCTGTATAAAGACTAAAGGACTAAAGACATCTAAGGATAATAAATGAGAAGAGTGGTGAAAGAAGAATATACACCATTGTGACCAACTCCAGTGGAGAAGTTTTGGGTCTCCTCATCTCAACACCTTAATTTCAGTCTGACCATTTTTTTCAAGATCCATGTTTTGAAAATCCTATTTAATTGATGAGCATGAATGTGTTAGATGGATAATCATCAGCTCCTACGAACATGACGAAAGGAGCTTTATCCAGCTTTGAGTAAGGCAGGTCTTCCGCTTTCAGGATTTTCATAGCCCTCATTAAACCTGCTTGGTTTTATTATCTTCCAATATATGGGTGATTGAAAGGCATGATACAGAATAGCCAAAACACAAGCCTGCATTTTACCACTTTAATGAAGAAGTCAGGAATTAGCCAATAATTAAGAAAGTTTTGAGGTGACATTTTACATAACTAGACAATGTGTGCTTTAATTAACTGCGTTTTTAGCAGGTGGACTAGGAAATATTTTATAATGCTTGAGATGGTGCAGCAATGATCTGAGCTATTTATTAGAAATTGGTGTGTGTGTGTGTGTGTGTGTGTGTGTGTGTGTGTACATATCAGAAAACATATGAAACTTTCAAGTAAGGTTGCCACAATGTGTAACTCCAGAATGCAGTATAAATGGTACATTCTGTATTGTGAAACACAGTGGCTTGGGTCTTTATTTCTAACACTTGACTTTTTTTAAAAGCCATTTTGTCCCCCACAGTGGACATGGAATGGTTCTAAGAGTAAAATATAATACCTGGATATTGGTGAAAAGAGAGTCCTTTTTGTATTTGTTTATACTGCTATTCGCAAGACATGAAGTTAGTCATAATTACAGCAAAAGCCAGGAATTCACTAGAAAAATGCAGCCTATTTTGATTTCAAAGTTGGTACTTTCTGGAAAACACATTTGTCCCAAACCTCTGTGTCTTTTGTTGTGGCAATGCTCTATCTGGAAAGTTCTCTCCTCAGATTATATAGCTGGCAAGTTCCTCATCTTTCCAAAGCTCAATTGAAAGGCCACTTCTCTGAAACTATCTTATGCTCTCATTATTTTTGAGCTAGACATCTATCTTAGTACCTGTCATGCTTTGAGCACTTTTTCATTTATTGATCTCTCTCTCCAACTAAATGTGTGCTGAGATCCAGAGTTAGTTGGTATTCACTGTACAATGAGTCTCATGGTATCTCATGAAGAGTACCTGGCATATAGTAGATGCCAAGTGAATAAATAATTGTTCCTCTAGAATTCTTTGTATTTCTATCTAGTGGGAAATAAATGCCATTTTTTCCCCTTTGAGCTGTGACAAATGCTCTACTTTCTTTTGTTCATTTGTATAGGAAACAATCTGAGTACCTGACCTTCTATAACCTTGGATGAAACCCAAACCAAAAGAGATTATTAGACTCCACATTTGTCAGAAAATCTAGTTCCAGCTCTTATCTCTTCTCATAGATAATTCAAGATATTTGCAGTTGTTTCCTTTCTTCATTCAATAAACATGTATGTGCAACTACTATTTGAGAGTAAAAAGAATTATTGATGTCATCTTGGAGCATCACTCCAAAAACTTGTCAAGGAGCTGAAAGCTTTGGCTCAATTTTTATAAATTAATAATTCTTGGAAAAATATTCCCACCTCCTAAATAGAGAAAATGAGTCTCTAAAATACTTTAAAAAGTGTGACTTTCAAAGGAAAAAGTAGTTTTTGTACAGACTATGTCTTCCATAAAAAAAAATAGAAATAACAAGGCATGATGTTTTTCTTTTCTGTATCTGTGTCTACTGAGTGAAAGCACACTTGAACATTGAAATTTGAACATCAAAAAGACAAGTGTATTGGTTTTCATGAAACTCAACAAATAAGTTATATTTTTCATACTAAATTGAGGGCATCAGATTTCATTAACACATGTTTTGGTCACTGCTGCTTGGTTTCTTGGTTTAAAATCAAATGAAGTGGGAGAAAGGCAATTTTTTTCCCTTGAAGTTGGGATAATCATAAAATTGTAAGAGTAGAGAGAATATTGTAAAAATGTTAAAGCCCATGTTAAGAACAAGAACCCTTGACTCCTTTCATTAATAAAACTTGATGAAATTTCTTCTACTAATAAGACTATCATCAATCAGAAAATTAAATGCCTCTAATATTGTTTGCTTGATCAAGGGTAATGCATCACAATTTTCTTCATTTTATTCTTTGATCTCTATTACCTTCCTCCTCTGCCATTTTCCCTCTTTTGTGCTTTTTTCCCTACTTACCACCAGTCTGGTTCTCTAAAGACTTTATCAAAATCCAAATTACATGTAGTACTCCATGAACACTATTTGGCCCTTCACCCCAAAAGGTATGGTTGTAAAGTATCATGCTATAATGGGGGAACCCTCAAACAATTTTAGTTTCCAATTAATATAATATTCAAGGAAAAGACAATATTAATTTCTGCCTAGGTATCTGTGGGTCATATGTATTGGGCTTGCAGTTTTCTAATGTTCTTGGCAATTGCTTTTGGGTAACCCAGTTCACTAAGGAACACAAGTTAACTTATAGAAATCATAAGGATCCCATAAAAATAGGTAACTATGTTAGTCAACAAAAACCAGTAAGTAAGTAGGTGGTGAGAAACCATGAGGACTGATTAAAAGGATGTGCTTGGTGTTTGGTGAATATTTTCATACACTAAGCAAATGGCTTGAGGTGACCAAATAATGACCAGAAATAATTTTTAAACATTTACCTACCTTTTCAGTTAAGTTTTCTGATCTAAGATGATTTGTTCACTTTTTTAAAAGTAAGTTCCTTCAACATTAGAGGATGAAACTTTTTTAATCACTTTCTCAATCATCAAAAATTTAAAGTTAGATATAGTATCTACCTTAAAAGATTAATCAAAGAGAAAGTGATATAAGTGATAAAAAATTCACACCTAATTTTAAGGGAACACTATAATTATAAAGATTTATTCTGTAAAGGGGGGACCAGGAACAGAAAGGAAAAGGCAAAATGAGAAGGAAAATAAAACCATGGCAACTTTCAACCCTTTTGTAGAAAGTTTAAATTATTTGAGGTTGGTTAAGGTATCAAAATCTACCATGTTGAAATTTTCCCATACTTTCCTTGAGAGAACTGAATCACTGGGTCACAACTAGCTGAAGATGGGATTATTTATTAGCAGGACTGCTGCTGCTTGCACAAATCACTTAAGAGTCTACTATCTTTTTACATCAAATAATGACATCATTTCAAGCCATTTACTTTGGACAAGGATGATAAAAGGCAGCAATTGAAAAACAACAACAAAAGTTTAAAATGACCACCACAGGCAATGGGGCAGTTGCAAAGAAAAGAACTGCAAACCAAAGCAATAACTTACGGTAGCTACTTTCGCTATCGCTGGCATTAGAAGAAACATGTTCTGCAAGAACAGCACAGCAAATTAAAGAGATACCAAGCACTGGAGCAGCCAGAAGTGAAAGGAACACACTCATGCAAGGCTACTAGAAATGCAAGCGAAAGGCAAGTCAAAGGCCGCAGAGGAGACTGCATTAAGAAAACTTGGATTAGATAAGGAAGATGAAAACTTTATCTCCATTTTACAGGAACACATTGTTTGATTGCTGTTTTTTCTTTTTAGTAAATGAGGAAAGTATCTTTATAACCAAAAGTGCACAATGTCAGTATAGGCAATTTTAAAAATAAGTACTATAACCCATTCATAGAGGTCTGATTTTCGAGATTCATGTTACAGTAGCCAGTATGTATCGACTGAATGTCTTCTTAACTGGTGTGTTTTCTTTTTTTTTGAGTTGGAGTCTCACTCTGTCACTCAGGCTGGAGGGCAGTGGCACGCTCCCAGCCACCGCAGCCTCGACCTGCTGCGCCTGCAATCCTTCCACCTCAGCCTTCCAAATAGTCGGAACTACAGGCGCACGCTACCACACCCGGCTTATTTTTTATTTATTGTGGAGACGAGGTCTCACCAAGTTGCCCAGGTGAGTCTTGAACCCACAGGCTCAGGCAATCCTCTCGCCTCGGCCTCCCAAAGTGCTGGGATTACAGGCTGAGCCACAGATCCCAGCAACTGGTGTGTTTTCTTGCAGGCTTTTACATTTCTCTATTTTTAGCTTTTAAGTATTTTACAGGGGCACTGCATTTCAAATTGTCAATTGGGATCCCTGGAATCCTCTGAATTTTATTTATTTTTAGTTGGGGTCTCTACTACCCAGGCTGGACTCTAGTGGCACAATCATGGCTCACCGCAGCCTCAACATCCTGGGCTCAGGCGATCCTCCAACCTCAGCCTCCCAAATAGTTGGGACTACAGGCATGAACCACTATGCCCAGCTTATTTTTTAATTTTTTTTGTAGAGATGAGGTCTTGCTATGTTGCCTAGGCCGTTCTCGAACTTCTGGGCTCGAGCAATCCTCCCACCTCAGCCTCCCAAAATGCTGGGATTATAGGTGTGAGTCACTGCACATGGCCAAATTTTATTTCTGTTTAAATACTTCCTATACAAATTGTCAGGATGAAAAGGAATTCTTGAAGATCTTTTCTGCTTTGGTGAGTGACTAGAAAATCTTGGAGAAAGATGTGAGTCATGGAAAGGTGTTTTATGAGTCAGTTCAATAGTTCCTTGTTTTCATTTTAAAAATCTTGCTTGGGTAGGTATTGGATTATGGAGAAATGAAACAGACAGGAGATAAATGATTTGATGTTCAGCATAGGTCCTGGCATGAAGTATGTTTTTAATCCATGCCGAATGACTTGCTTGCACAGTGATATTCCAAATTGTTTTTCCATATAAGCACAGCTTAGATAACCTAACAGAGACATATTGACTATATGCCAGAATTTGAACTTTTATTTGCAAAATCTTTTTAAACTCTGTATTATTTCTTAATTTATAGAAAATAAGTTCCTCAGCTTATTAACTTCTTTGTATATCACTTAAATGAGGTATGTGACTATTTAATTTCTGAAGCTCACTTGCAAAAACTTCAGCTTTTAAAAAAATGACAACTGTTATACATCTTTAGAAAGAGAAAAAGAACATCTAAACGTTATTCTTCAATAGTAAAAAAAAGTACTGCGAAGTATATATGTTATTATACGTGCTTTTCAATCAAATAGAGCATGGAACTAATGAAAACCAAAGCATAGGTTAAAGTTCACACAAGTCATATGTCTTTGTGTTGGTCTATGACCAGAACCGCATCACTAATTTAGGCACACATTTTACAAGTGTAAAGGGGCACTAGGGAAAGAAGTGTGGGTGGATCTGTGCTAATCTGTATTGTATTATTGAAAACAAAGTAAAGGCATGTACCTAATGTATATCTTTATGTACATTATTATCTTAAGTAACTTGAATTTCATTTTTTTTTTTTGCTTTTAATATGTGTTCAATTTGTCAATAGTAAACACTCGTACATTCCAATAGCAACTACGTTTTTCTGGTGTTCATTATTAATAATATATTAAAATGCTTCTTCTCCCTCAAACTGAAAGTTTGCAAATTCTCTCTGTGGTGCTTGATCCTGCCCAGATAATGTTAAAATTCATATTTAAACTTCAGTCACTAATTTAAGAAAAAATTTTCATTATATTCCATATAGTGACTCAAAAATAAAGTTTTCATCTTTAAAGAGCTCAGTACTCTTTATCAGATTTTGTTTTCTATATATATATATCTAAAAAAAAAACCCCTCCAAATTTACAATTTGAATTATGAAGGGGATCATTACACAGGGTTATAGAAACAGCCCTTGAAAACAAAGTCTGGCTCAATGCTATTTTGTTTTATACACATGAAATGAACAGCTTCTAGAAATATTGTCCATGGCTGTTAAATTAAAACAAACAAAAAAATAATTAAACGTGATACAGTTGCAAAAGACACAAAACTCTGCCCTCATTTTATTGGTGCCTACACAATGCTGTTAATTATTAAAGAAGAAAAATTATAGTATATAATATATTAGTACATAGGATAACTATTTTTTAATTGTTCAGTGCAATGTGACATAGACCAAATACATAAATAGCTAGAAAATGTAAAGGTTTAATATATTTCATTTTTTACTCTATACTATAAAAGATGACCTGATTATGTAGCTAATAAATTTCTAATAGAAAAGCAAATTCATACATATCTAAAACTTTATCATACAAACGTTTCAAGCAGGACCACTGCAAGTCAGAAAAAAATCAATCAGTTATTAACAAAGAATTACTCATGTAAGATCCAATAGCTTAATATCTACTTTTTGAGGATGCATGTTCCTTTTGACTACAAAATAGCTCCTTTACCAATAGCAAAGTACACCCCAATTATGAAATTTGGCAAGGTCATTAAATATTTCTATGTGCAAAGGCAGAATAAAGAACATAAAATACATTTCTACTTTCTGTCTTAGACCTCTTAGCTCACCCTTTCTTTCAACATGGTTCCTTGCTCTCTGGGAAGTATTAGGCGACAGAGCAAGTGATGCTATGGTGGCATCAGGACCATGTTGATCATATCACAGGGTCAGAAAGGGATGATGTTAACTGCAACAGAAGTTAGAGTGCCTGGCACACTTTGCTTTTGAATGCTGACATGCAGAACAAAACGATTGAAAATTACTTCGTAGGAGCATTCACAGCTAGGTAACAAATAAAACTCGTATCTTGTGCATGCTAGGAGTGAAAGGCCCTCAAGAAAAGGAACAAAAGCCAAACTCAAAAGGAAAGGAAAAGAAAAGAAAAGTTACAGTGACCATTCCTGGGAACTTACTCAGAGTCTTTGTTCCATAACCGTCGTCACCTAATCCGGGGATGTCCTGCATGGAAGTCCCCAGAGAGAGCAATGAGAGAGGAAGAACAGCCACGGAAGAGGAAGGAAGAAGTCAGTGGAGTTGAAATGGATACTACCATGACAGACCATGTTGCCTTAACAATCTGGATCCCACTCTCTCTTTTTTTAAAACAACTGTCACCTCAAATGTCCTAGACTGAGACTCAAGAAGGAAATTTTTTATTTGCAAAGTCATTCAAAAGATTTGGGCAGAAGATTGTAAGAAGAAAAAGAGATTCAGCAAATGCCACTTTTGCCCACACTCTATGATGTTCCCTCAGAAATGCCCCCACTTAGAGGAAGGATCCTCTCCAAATGCCCTGACAAATTATTTTGATTCTGAGTTGGGGTCTCATTCTTGCCCAGGCTGAAGTGCAGTGGAATGATCACTGCTCACTGTAGCCTCAAACTTCTAGAAGTGATTGATCCTCCTGCCTCAACTTCCCAAGTAGCTGGGACTATAGGTGTGTGCCACCATGCATGACTAATTTTTTGATTTTTTTTTTTTTAAGAGATGAAGTCTTGCTATGTTTCCCAGGCTGGTCTTGAACTCCTGGGATCAAGCAATCCTCCCACCTCAGTCTCCTAAGGTGCTAGTATTATAGGCAGGAGCCACTGTGCCCAACCTGTACAAATTCTTAGTTTAGTATCCACCAATACAAGTTCACTACTCTGAAATATTTATCATTTCTTGGGAAGGAAAGAGTGAGCAAATGTGCTAGTTTTCAATAAAGTTTATTTAATTGTTCCTGGCATTCCAGAAAACATATGTGGCAATGGAATCCAACATTTCTGCCCAGAAAAGAATTTGTCTCAAGCCCTAGAGAGTTGCATGATAGAAGAGCAAACCAGACCTAGTCCGGGTCAAAGGTAAATGCTGGCTGGGTGCAAGTCCCAGTTTCAGCAAATCTCTTCCAATGCATTCTGTGAAAAAGAGTCACATGAAACAAAGGATCCAGACTGCAAGCAAACACTGGTCACAGTAGTAGACCTGACCTGCCTGCCTGTCGTGTTGTTTGCCTAGGCGTGTGGCGTGGGAGAGCCTACATCATGCGTGTTGCCCGTGAAGGATTGTTTTCTCTTGTGTTGCGTGTGACATTATCTTTGAGAATCTACTTACGTTCAGGGTCACTGGTTTCCTGCTCACTCTGCTCCTTGTTCTTGTAGAATGGGAATTTTCGTGAAAAGATGAAGCTCTTTTTACGCTTGTCATTGAATGACTGTGAAGGAGAAAAGGCATGGGGCAAAAACAGGGGACGTCTAATTGTTGTCACACTCATGCTGACAAAACAACTAGTTTGTAAAAGCACAGAGAGCTGTAGTGACGCAAGTGAATACTCGAGCATGGTGCAAGAGAACTCAAAAGGCAGACTTTATTTTCAAAAAAAAGGAGATTCTAAATGATGGCACCTTGGAAAAATTGTATCCTAGTTAAAAGACTGGTTACGGGTAAATGGTAATGGAGGAAAAGAATCTGAAATTGGAAGCAGAAGGCCCAGAGTTTTTGCCTGGCTCTACATCTTGCTAGTTACCTTAGACAGGTACCCGAATCTCTCTGAACTGACTCAGTATCTTCATCTGCAAAATGAGGATAATGATAGTAGCTCTTAGGTTGTGAGACTCACATAGGACAATATAAACATAACGTGATATACAGATGTCATCTTATCACCATCAAGTAGCAAAGACTTTATTAGAAAAACTGGTTTTCTTCTCAGTGTCTATGTAACTTTTAAAATAAGTTTGAGTTCCTTCAGTTTATATTTCATTAAAAGGGCACAGAGAAGTGTGTAGATTTGTGGTATATGGTAATTACAACCTCACACACAGATGTGTGATAATTATAGTATAACACTTTTACTCAAAAGAAAACTTAAACATATTTTAGTCTTAAGTCCTCATTTTGTAGACAGGAAGCCATAGACACAAAAAAGTTGAGTCCTATGCTAATATCACAGAGCCAGTTGGTGACAGGAAGGAGGCAGTCAACCAAACTCTGTTAAAATTGCTGCTAAAGGAGTATTAAGCTAATATTCTAATTTAGCAAGGGAAAAATTACAGTCACTCAACTATATTCTGATAAGATAAAAATAATGTAAGAATGACTGTCTTTAAAAATTTAAACCAATCAATTAGCTTAAATGAGCTGAATTTAAGCTAATACATATATGCATAATATGATACAGATATTAGAATTTATTCATTCAAGTTAATATCATGTGCTTGTTTAGAAGACTCTTTAAGAAAATTCCATTTGTTTTACTGCTCCTGTTCTTATGTAAATACTTTGAGGGGCTCTTTGGAAAATGCGTTGATAGTCATTTTACAAGCTATAGTCCATGCAAGTCTCATTAATTTCATACTTTCATATCATTTAAAATATATATTTCTCCAGTTTGATTACTCTCCTTATTTGATTGATTTGACTCTGAGGGTCTTTCTGCAACTAAAAAAATTAAAATCACTCCCTAAGGAACAAGATTTGTTATCACGTAGGCATTAAAATGAATGTTCCAAAGACTCTGAAGGTAATTTAGAAAAAGGTATTCTAAAACATTTGCAATGGAAGCTGGTAAGAATAAATGTCGAGCCAGCAAAGTGACTACTTAGAGGAAAGAGCACTTGTTTGAATGTATGCATGATGTCACATTCGTGGGAATTAGTCATGTGCCCTAATGGATTTGAAGCTTGATAATTTGGTATAAATAACTTATTTTATTTGTATACTCATGCACTATTGTATCTAATATCCATTTTGGTAATGATTTTCATTTAGGAAACATTAAAATATCGAAAAGCTGGTGCTGTCATTCACTAAGTAATTTATTACTTTTTCAAGTAATAGAAACTTTCACCAAAGTAATGGAGCCCATTAAGAAGGCTTCCTGAAAAATAATAAATTTAATAATTTCTGAAACCAGGGGACAAATTTATATTTCATCTACAAATACTAAAAATACATTCTAGGGGAAGAGAAGTTATCACTTCAGAATTTAGTACTCTGCTGACAGCATCTGTGTTCAGTATAGTTTTATCATCATTTGTAATTGAGAATTGCTATTCAAAAACAAGGCCAAGAGCTGCTCTCAAATTTTCTCAGTTAAAAATGATATTCCTTAAAGGAATATTAAATATTCTTGCATCACTCCAGTTTCATGCTACTTTTACATTTCAAGCATATTTAAACTGCAGTAACTGAAAGTAAAAGAAAAAAATCATGTAAGAATTAATGGCATGTGATATTGCAAGGTATGTTAGACATTTAACCTCAACATTTCCAATGACTTTTCATGCAAAAAATAAATTACACATTTTCATGCAAATACAAAACAATGCCAAGAGGAGTAAAGCCTGGGATGAAAACATAAACACGATGGACAATGTGGAGGCCTTCTAGGGCCCACAATGGGGCTGCATGCAAACCACACCATTTCAATTGTCTCAGGGTCAAAGGAAAATGAAAATGTATTGTCTGTGATTAATTCTTTTATGTTTCAAAGCAAGTGCTGTAATGTGTTAACATTTCCCAAGTATGAAAATGTTGTGTACTATAAATCATCTCATCAGGACATAATATTACTAAGCACCACACTTTTTAAAAGAACAGAAAATACATAATAATACCCCAAGAATAAAATTATCTAACTTATCAGTCTTATTTGCAAAAGTCATTTTTATTGGAATTAGAGAAGGTAATGGAATTATTGGTAGTTACTCTTCCTTACATTTTATGGACACAAAACCAAATCACAGTTTCAGATCATACAGATTTAAAGTCATACGTTTAGAATCTTATTTAAACATTTCAATCATAAGAGATTTTTGTGGTTTATAATGCTCTAACACTATTCCTTATTTTTTATTAGGCATATGTAATATCGTTATATAAGTTTTCTTGCTGCTGTAATTTTTTTCTTTTAATATAAAAAAGGAAAATCTGTTACACGAGGGCTAGGTGAGAATAATAAATTAACACTTTTACTATTTACAGAACACATGGCTAAAGCAACTGAGGGATGGTTTACAGCTCCTTCTCAATCATACTAGATCAATCCTATTCTTTCTCTGTCTACATTACCATAGCTTAGTTCCTGATCCATTGTTTTTATGGCAGGAAACTTCTTTGATTAGAAACTTTGAAAATACCAATCGAATGTGACGTGGGACAAGTCAGCATATCTAAGAGTCCCATTTTGGAATTTGATGAATTATAGGGTTCTCATGAATACTAATAAAACAACTAACATTTATGAGCACATCATGTGCCAGGCTTAGTTCTAAACGTTGTACAAGAGTTTATCTCCATTCTAACTTCATGAGGTTAGTACCATCATTATCCCCACATTACAGAAGAACAAACTGAAATTTACAAATCTTGCCCATAGTTACACAGTGGTGAGCAGTGAAGTCAGAAACTGAATCTGTAAATATTCCTCGTTGTAACTATTACTGCTGTTATGAGCATGAGAGGTTTCTGCAACCTAAGCCTGCTTCAAGTTTCTATTTAAAATTATTAGCATTTGACTCTCTTAAATGATTCCACAATATGTCATTCTCACAGTGCTTGGCAATTATTTATTTAAGTCATCAGATGCTATTGGCTTTAACATCTTTTTTGGTTATTCTGCTATAGTTTTGCGATACTCATTCATATTTTTGAGGACTCTATTCCATTTTTCTTGTTGTCATGATAATAAAAAAAAAGTTTTTAAAAATTAAATGAGACAATCCATGAATGACAATTAAAAGGTAATTGCCCTAGCCAAGCAAATCTATAGAAATCAAGTAGATTAGTGGTTGCTTAGGGCTGAGGTTGGGGAATGCATAGAGTGGGAAGTGGCAGCTAATGGATATGAGAGTTCTTTGAAAGGAGATGAAATATTCTAAAATTAGATTGTGGTGTTGGTTGCATAACTCTATAAATATACTAAAAATCATTGACTTGTCTACTTTAAGTGGGCAAATTGTACTATGTGAATTATATCTCAATAAAGTTTTATTTTTTAAAAAAGGACCCCCTTCCAACCTCACATTATGGGATGAAAATTGCAGCAGGTTTCTAATTTTATTTGGTGTAAATAATGTTTATCTTTAATTGAATGAGAGTAAACTACCTACTCCAATCTTTGCAATCAATTAGGTATACATGTCTTTTGTTTATCTGATTCTGTTTTGTCTCTGTTAAATGAATACCTTTCATGTTGTGACAGACATTAGAACACTCATATCAGGAGCCACAGTCACTCAGAAGACTTCAGGCTGTTAGGTCAAATGGCATGAAACTGCCAGTCTGACACCAAGATATAATGATATTGGTGAACTGGCTTAAGATAAAATACATGCGTCACAAAAAAAGGAAACAAAACAAAAAACTTGAATCCTTCCCTTACTCAGATTCAATGTTCTTAAAGACACATGACTGAATCTTGTCATATTTTTATCTTTCTCATCAAGAAAACTTTAAAACCAAGGACATGTTTTAGTTTTTCTCCTCATCTTTCTGTTCTCATTTCTCAAGCTTTAAATGTTTCATCGTTCTAAAATGTCACCTTTGTGATATGAATGTTTTCTGGGCAGAATTTAGGTTTAAATTTATATTGAGCTCAGATATACTTTTTTCCGTGGCCTCTTTTTTTTTTTTTTTTTAATATACGCTTTTCCCTCTTAATTCATTCTTGACTCTTCTTCTGTAAAATAATTGTGTTCTCCCGAGAAAGCTGTTACTATAAGTTTCGGCTACTACTTTGTATTATACATATCTTATTTTCACACACATAAAAAGAGAATTTCAAAACAAACAAGATTAAAGAAATAAGTAGTAATATAACAAGGATTAAGAGTTGGCTTGCGATATATCTGTTCCCAGAAATAATGTCTATGTGAATGCACATATACATATGTGTTATAATATTGCCAATTCAAAAGAGGTTACTTTCACAATCCCAATGAATTAATGGATCTAACTTAGCACCAGTATCTGCTGACACCACAAAAAAGGAGACAATCAGATGTTATGTGCATTCTAATGGAAGAACAAAATATTGCTACAAAGTAGTCTTGCAAAGCTCTATTTTTAGCAAAACAAAACAAACTTCTTCAAATGAACCTGAATCTAATCAAATCTCTAGATCCAACTACCAGTTTACAGAAATAAAGAAGAGAAACATGGTAAATTATACTACAAAGATGCAATCTGCAAAATCTGAAGAGTGGGAAGACA